AATTAGCCCTCAAGCTATAGATTAAAATACATAAAAATCAAATAAATTAACCAAAAAAATCATTATTTATTGTTTTCTGGAAACTGTTTATAAATAATTACACCTGAAAGTGAAATATGCTTATGTCACACTGGTTAACATTTTTTTGGGGGGGGAGCCTCATGTATAAGCCGCCATGTTGCCCTGTTTATCTGAAACATCTCACAGTAGAATCTGAGTTTGCTTCTCGATTCATAAAAATCATCTACTTTCTATCCTTCCTATACACTTGCTCAATGGTTTTCCATTGATTAGTTATTTTGTACAAAGCCCCTCATTTGACCCACTGCCCGGCCACAACTCCTAGCTGGCCAGGCAGCAGAGGGACGGTGGGAAGCTAAACATGACATCAGAATTCTGCAGGAAAAGAAATAGAAGTCACCAAACCCCCCCGCGTCTGCCTAACAAAGCCAGAGGGCGTTCCATTCCAGCTGGCTGAAGGAATGATTCGGATCTTAAGTACTAAGAAGTTCTTAAAAGATGTGAGGAAGTCAGAGCTTAAGAAGGGTCAGCCTTCTAACTTCTTGACAAATCAGCTTCTCAAGACACCGTCTAGATCTTCTAGATGCCAAAGAGATGTATCACCTGCATGGCAGTCAGGAAAAAGCCGGGGTTCAAGGGGGTGAGGTGACCAGCTAAGCAGTCCCTGAACCGACATCTACGCATGCTCTGCAAGATGCTGGCTCGGAAAGAGAAAGACTACATTTAAATATAACCTCAAAGGAGCAGTGCCACACACTGGCAGAACGGTTTCAAGTTGCCCTGCTGAGTTCTCACCTTGACTAACTCCAGCATCTTCGTCCCCAGCATGACAGGCTTGCTGGAGTGTCCCTGCCGAAACAGGAGCCCACGCGGGGAAGAGGCCCATGTGTCCATTCTGCGTGACACACCTGCGGTGTGGCTACCACCCGCCCTCGGGACAGTAAGGTCACGGTCCCGTCCACGACAGAGAAAAGTGATGCCAAAGGCAATGCAATCCTGGCTTCTCAAATCCCTGGATGGAGAGAAGGCCACGTGTTCCCCACCAGCCCCGACCCACGGGAAACAGCGCGCCACGAAGATGCACGCAGGCCAGCGGAGCGCAATGAGCGCGGTGTTAGAAACGCTAACTTCAGCGGTGGCTTTGGCAATGAAAGAAGCTGCTGCTCCTCCAGCTCCTGGCTGCAAACCACTCACCAAAATGGGCTACAAAAACCCAGGGAAAGCAAGGTACCTGAATCACTGGGGGTATTTTACCTCCATTTTATAAACATGGTATTTTGATTAAACACGCCTTACGCCAATGAATTTCACCAAGAGAAAGGAACTGACAATGTCAGCCGATCATCCCGGGTTTCACCACCACCCCCTTATAAAGTAAGAAGCTCCCAAAGTTTTTTTCAATGCTAAATTAGATAAATCTGCTGCTTCCCGATTTAATTGTCATTCGTGTGAAAAGGTGTCACTGTAACAATGCTGACTTCTTCCTGCCACTTAACGTTACTGACATCGCGCCATCTTTTGGATTTTTCGGGAAGAGGATGAGATAAAGAGCAGTTTCTTTGGCAGGGGAAATTTTCATTATCCATGTTAATACCACATTATGATCAAACCGTTTCGTGAAGTTTTGATCCCAAAGCTGGAAGAACAGAAACACCCTTTTAAAAGTTTCTCTCCAGAGACACAGCCGGGAGACGCTCTGTCTCCTATTATGTTACGAGCATTCAGGCCCTCCTCCTTTCCGCAAAGTGTCAATCAAGACGAACGACTTCTGCTCGTACAGAAGGAACACGGAACATTAAGTTGTGTACACTATCGCTGAACTCAAACTTACCCAGGCCCACTTGGAGCTCCCCTTTGGAGAAGTGTTAGAGCCAGCCACGCCCAAATGGCTCTCCGCCTAATGCGAGGTGCAGGCCTACCCACCAGCACTTGACCTCTGGAGAGTTACTGCGTCTACGCCTCCATTCACTCAGGCGCACCAGGAGCAGAAAAGAGGTGGCCCGCTGAGCTAGGATCCAGGCAACACTTCAGAAAAACTGCTCAGGGCAGACACAGTGGGTAGCAAACTGTGCTAAGCTTGGGACTAGAAGGTGTCACCCTGCCGGTGTGGCATCCCAGAAGTGCCTTTATGCTCTGGGGCCGTAAAAGGATAGGGCAGACTTGGGCCCTGTGGGCACAGAACCCCAAGGACCTCTGAAGCGGTGTCAGGGGGTGCAGGGCCACAGGCTGGGTGAACCCCAAGCCTGGTACATAATACACTTCCCCAAACACACCTGAATGCTGTTGAATAAAAGCAATATTACTTTATTACTTTAAAGACGAGTGTGACTGCTATCAAGTAGCTTTTTGTCATCCCAGATTTTCTTACTCACAAACAAAACCCCCCCAAAACTAAGTTAAACCAGAGCCTGACGTAGGTGGGGGTCCAGATGTTTTCTGAGAGGGTCCCCATAAGTTCAGAGGAATTGACGAGTCATGGGTCTGGAGTTCTGGATAATCTCCAAAGCTCCTTGACGGCAACTTAGATGTCACCATCGTTCTCCCCGACACGGCAGCTGGTTACGTCAGTGATCGAAGCCAGGGTCAAGCCTCCCCAGTTCCAGACCCTAGCACTTCCTGTTTTAAGTTTGGAGTCTTCAAACAGGAGTAAAAAGGGTCTGCATCTTTCATCCACGATCACCAAACATCTCTAGCACAGCCAAGGCCACCGAACCTGGCGCCACGCTGCCGGCCGAAACCCTCGGGAAAGACAGGACTGAGCGTGCAGGGTAGAGCCAGCCATCGTTACCTGGACGGAAAGCCCGCCCCTGTGTGTCTGAGGGCGGCAGTAATACTAAATGCCTTTTAAGAACCATTTAATGCCTTCTATGACTTTTATGGTACATCAAATCACAAGCTTACTCTCATGAAAGAAAATTGTCTACATTCCAACACAGCTACCTGTAAAATGAATAATTGATAAGCAAGGGTAAAGAGCTTTGAAAACCTAGAGGTATCATATGGATAAAAAGAAATAATGCAGAAAACATCAGTGAGGCTGGACCAATGCCTGTGTGGGGTTTTATTATTTTTATTATTATTATTATTATTATTATTATTATTATTATTATTATCATTCCTTCTGGACAGAAGCTCTGAAAGGTACCCTTTCTAACTATAGACAAAGGGCAGTGTCTCAGAACAAACAAAATCTGCCACTTGAGAGCTTCCGGGACACTGGAAAGCTGGGGGTTGAGAAGGTGCTACCAGCCATCTGCCTGGGGCTCACAGTGACTGAGGACCACACAGGTCCCCCTGGGTAGCTGCAACGGGGACCCCTCTATGGCAGTCCAGCCACAGACCGACACCCTGAGAATTCCTGCCCATGGAGGTTCAGCACAGGGACCAAGGTTTCCCTGTCTGGACCCTGGGAAGCAACGAGAGTGGCAGTCACACATTTCAGTGCCCTCCTGAACTAGCGGACCCTTTCATTCTGCAACTTTACACGGGACCCTGGAAATGGGCACTGTGAAAAACTACCTTTGCACGCGCCCACAAACAACTAATCACTCCCCTTCTTTCTTACCATCAAAAGCTTATGATCAAATCAGATGGCAGAAAGTTCCTAAAACATGTGAGCCCCTTTTTCAGTTCACCAGCTCCCCTCAGCTGGAAAGCAGAGGCTAAGCAGACAGCTGTACTTTCTCCCGGCTGGGGCCTCACTCTGCCTGCTCCCACAAGGGACTCATCTGACTATGAAATCCCCTTAATCCCTGAACTGCGTTTTACTCCCTGAAAACCCTGAGTGCTTTGTGTTCTCCCCATGCTCGTGCCACTATTCCTTCCCCACTGCAGGGCACCTTTTTTTTTTTTTCCCCAAAAGAGAGCAGTTGCTTGAAGCAGCTTACAAAGAAATGGATGGGGTTTATTTCAGATGATCAAGGTCATTAGTAAACTATGGAAATTAGGCTAACTGGAGACTTGGAATTCTTCAGGGAAAAAGAACCCAGAGGAAAGCCTACAAGGGCAGAGTGGACAGAGCGAAAGGACTTCCTCCATCGCACTCGGAACCCCGCCTCCGAAGGCACGCTCTTCCCCACAGGATGGCCTTAGTCCACCTGACTTCCACCAGAGCTGGCCCGTTCATTTCCAGATGTAAATACAGGCCCTAACTTTATGAAAAATCAACAACCGCACATGCAGCCCAGTCTGCCCCTTCTACAGCATGAGTTACAAAATCTCCAGGGAATTATAGGGAAAGTAAAGCTATAGCTTGTCTCTCCCAGATATTCTCTCAAGGGATTCTGCCTGGGGCTCAGATAGGTAGCAAATTATAGGAGGCATCCTTCCCTGACTTAAAGACAAAAAACAGACGGCAGGGCCAAAGGTGGCCAGTCCCGCCCATCTGGCTTGTGGTCTGTCCACGCCCACTCTGCGACTGCGGAGACTCCGGAGACTCCGGAACAGGAGGAGGCTACAGCATCATCCATCTCCCGTGGTCCAGCTCCCAGTCTGTTTCCTGCTTCCCAGAAATAAGCCTGCGCCAGATGTCCAGGGTAGGCAGAGGGGCTGACTGAGCCCTGTTTCTCATCACAGCTAAGCCCCGGCCAGGGCTTGATTAGCTGGCTCTGCTTCCAGGAAGCAAAGAAACCTGCAGCACCATCACTCGCAGTCCTCAGCCAGGGGAGGTGGCCCTCTGCCCAGAAGCCAGACACCATTGCCTGGCAGGTCACCAGTGAAGCTCACCAAGTGCACTGCAGGCAGCAGAGCCCTGGACCCTGGGGCCAGGCTGCGTGACCACCATCAGGATTCCATTCACTGGCTCTCTTTGGAACTTCCAGGATAGGGACAGGCAACTGGGGTAGTTTGGTAAGATTTTTTTTTTTCTTTCCAGCTGTTGGTGACTGAAAAGGGGAAAGGTGCCTTCTCACCCACTGTGGTATGTAAGCAATCACCAGGGCTCTGCCACTTAGCAGAAGGCAACACAAAGCATGTCCTACCGTAAGGGTATTTGGTGTCCAGCTTCCTCTCCGCCGTCCTCCTCCAAGGCAAGAGGTCATCGCTGCACCCGTTTGGCATGCCATTGTACCCGATGCCCACGATCTTGTTTTCTGCATTCACGATGCAGGCTCCGACCTGCAGGGAAACATGAGCAAAGACTTGGTGACTTGGAGCGCCTTGTCTTCTCCTAGAGAGATGGTAAATGAAACCAGACGCCTGCAGACCTCTCAAAGGACACACAGCGTCTGGGGGAGGGGGGCTGAGAGCTCTGTCTCCTTGCTTGTTTTCCATGGCAGTTCCCACAAGCCAAAGAAAGAGCACCCCTGGCCCCAGAGCAGGTACTGGAGACACCTGATGATTGTCACAGGAAGACGTGAGCAGGTAGGGGCACAGCACATTCTCCTGGAAAGCACATGTACCTGGGAATTTGGATCTTTGCTTCTCTGTGCCGATAAGAAGGCTACCGCCATGAAATACTCAGGCCATTCCAAGTAGTCCTCGCGTTTCTTGCAGGGGATGGAGCTCATGGCTGGATCTAGAAGGAAAACAACACAACAGCAGGGGAGAAAAGCATTCAGGCGAGCCAGCCCCCCCAATCCGCCCCACCCCGACCACATTCGAACTGTGCATCGCTGAACTCAGAAACTTCAGTTACACTTACCAGTCAGAAATCACAGAACATGGACTCCGGATGGTCTCTGGTCTTTAGAAAAAACAATTAAGAAATTAAATTACTATTTCAAAAGTTTCAATTCAGAACACAGAGCTTCACATTCCCAAATATTATATCTATTTACTACTTTAGCACAGGATATCTTAAAATGTCTGCCCTAAATTGTTCTCATCCCTCAGCCCCATCCCTCATAAAATGGAGCCAGCACGAGCAGGAAGGAAAAAAGAGAACATTTTTTGGATCGTATAACATATTTCAGACAGTGTTGAAGGTTATATACATAACCTTACTACAACCTCCTTGCTAGCTAAGGTAGATGGTGGCACCCCATCTTAGAGACTGTGAGAACTTGGATAACTTGCCCTGAATCACACCCAGTTATATTACCTTGCCAGGTGAACTTTACTTGGCATTGCCCCAATGCAGACCTTAACTGGATTAATTTGTCCCTTCCCTTTCCCCTTAGTTTCCCCAGATAGGGCAGATCAAATCAGGAAAGCTCCAGCAGAGTAGGGGAGGGGCCCTTTCAAGGTCAAGGAAGGAGGTCAACCCAAGAACGGGGTGAATCTCATCACTGAGAAGTCTGGAGAACGCCCAGACATCTGGGCCAGAGAAAGGTGAGCACTGCCCCAGCGCCTGAGACTGGGATGCACGGACAGGTGGGGCCCGGAACCAGCATTACCCAATGATTACGTGGCCCAAATTCTGAGACGCCTGTAAAGCCCCCTTAACAGAAAGCCATGCCAGACTGGACCTGTTTACCACCGGGCTAAAGGGCTGGCATCCTTATCGCTGCAGAGTGCCAGGGGGAGAGGAAGGAGAGGCGGGAAAGGAATTTACCCTCCACCAGCCCTTCCACTGAAGTCTGGGTTAATGCTCCCAGGTGCCCCGAACCCAGCTGCAGAAACAGAGAAGGGATCCGTCCAGGGAGGTACCCCTAGCTCCCCACCGAGACAGAACCCAAGCTCCTCCCACCCCCTCCATTCCGATCCCAGGACGGAACCACGCACCCCCACCGAACCCGCGGGCGCCAGAAGTACTACACTGTCTCAGAGTCCCGCATCTACTCTCTTGTCGGCTCCCCACCCAAGCTGGAAAGCCTCCCACAGGCCACGCTGCCCGCCACGGAGTTAGCCGAGCCGGCTTCACCGAGAGCAGGGCAGCCCTGTGTTTCGTGCCCCGCCCCCCAGCCCGCTTGCAAGCCCCGCGCCCCGCGCTCCAGCCGCCCCACGTGGCGCGCGGTCCGTGTCCCCAGCCCAACCCCGCTCCGCGACCTGCAGGCAGAGGTGGGTTCCCGCTGCACGCGGGAAGGAAGTCGGGAGCAGAGGCGGGGCCGCCGCGTGGCCGGAAGATAGCGGCTAGGAAAACGGCGCGCTCCGGGGAGGGGGCCGGACCAGGCGGCGCCCGCCTAGCGCTGACGCCTTGGCTTCCCGGATCTAGTTGCAAAGTTAGGTCGCTCAGCCAGTGGTCTAGCCGGTGACCTGCAGATTTTGCTTCTGACTTTGCGCTGTAGGCGGCGGGGGCCCCGCCTACGTGAGTCCCGGGGTCCCGGAACCTCTGCGGCATTCGTGGACCCCGGGTGGCGCAGGGAGGACCCGCTTGCGCGCTTGGAGAATCCGACTTAATAATTGTTGCATTTTTCAGTTCTCTGAATCTGAGGGTTGGGTTGTTCCTGTTGTTGGTGAGGTTTTTTTTTCCTTCCCCACCTGAATGTACCGTCAACTACAAGCTCTCACAATAATTATGAATATGTAATGTGTGAATAAAAGAAGATCTGAACGAGTCTGGTGCAATAAAACCGCAGAGGCAGGAAGTGAGGAGACTTGGTTGGGGCCCTGCAATGGGCCAGGCCCACTGCGAGGCTTTGCTCTGTCCTCGCGGGGAACACTGACCCCTAGCAGCAGCTTCGCAGTTTTATGCTGGACTGGACGCTCTGCCTCGGAGATACATTTGCATCTGTGCTGTGCATGACCAGTTTACCGTTTCCACTCAAATTTTGTGGAAGGGCCTGAAATGTGTGCTGAAGCCTGCCCCCTGCCCTGCGCAACCTCCACTGCCTTGCACACCTGTCCTGGTAGTCTCCTGATAACATTTGCCAGCTATAAAACTGTGCTTATTTTGTTACAGTTGTTTGAACGATCAGAACGTGGCCCAGGTCAAAAAGAAAGACCTTCAGTGATATATCTAAAGTCATACGCCCCAAGGAGCTAAATCTGGTTTTCTTGAACTTCATTATTTTATTAAGACGTCTAGCTCCTAAGTCTGGTAGAACACCGGTTCCGGCACAGAGACTGACAAATGCACCCCTTGTTTTGCACGCAGGGCTGGAGGAGACAGCCAGCACTCCATAAATAATAGCTGCTGTAATAATCACACATCTGATTGGCACATCCCAGATCTGAGCCACTAATCCAAACAAAAGCTTGCAAACTATATTAATTTAGCCTAACACAGGAAGAATGATGAGCACAAACAGTTGGTTCTATCTAATTTCTCACTGCAGCAGACACATCATTCTTCATCTCCGTGGTCCGGCCTGTAGATTCAATAATTAAATTATGTACTGCAGTTGGTGGGTGCCGGGAAAGCGAAGGAGAAAAATACTTCATCGTTAACGATAGATTTTTTTTTCCTTGATCAGACTCGGGCTTGAAAGAGCTACGTAGATTAAAATGATGATTTTTAATGTCACGTTAACTTTGCTCGGCTGTCTTGTTGCCACTGAACTGTATTATATGCTCTGCTCCTGTCCCCCGCCCCCTCCCTAATCCATCCAGTGGTCTCAGTCACGGTCGAGTACAGTGTTGGAGTCTTCACAGGTCCATTCCTCTTCTTACCACTCCAACCGATACATCACCCACTGCTGCTGGGCCTTGGACCACAACATCGTTAAGCTTCCTTCCTTCCTCTGCGCCGGGAGGCCTGTCATGCATAATTTAGTTACTTCTCATCATTCTCCATTCTGGTCAACCCACACACTCCCCTCCGCCATAAATCCAGGGTCCTGCTTGCTGCAAGCACATTGCCCTGGCTGATCCTGCCGTTCGCTGAACGTCTCCCATCTGATAGGATGACATCATGCTCAGTACAGAAAACCATCCAGATTCTCAATTATCGGGCACCAATAGCAACCCAGGTGGTCAAGGGGAGGAAATGCATTTCTTGGTTTATCTTGCTCGTTAACACCTTGTAACTCCAAAGCGCGGAGGTAGGTGTTAAATCTCTCCTGTTCATACCTTGTGTTTTGGTCTGTAATTAAGGATCTTTCCCCCCCGAAACACAGGCATAGACTCACTGTGTTTTCAGCCGTATCAAGAGCCAGGGGCAGGGCTCTCCACAGGGGAGGACGCAGCCAGACATTTGCAAGTACTGTTGTCTTAGGCGTTGGCTTGGCTCCCTTTTTACAGGTCCAAAGTTACCTCTGTCTGATCTGTGACACAACCTGGGATACATTTCAGGGCCTCGAGGGTGGGGGGGTCTGGATTAAAAAGGCAGAAGTCAAGGGAAGATTCTTTTGGGCTGTCTCACCGCTTCTCCCACAGACTCTGCTCGCCCAGGAAAGGCTGGGACTTGAATCTGGAACTGAGGGAGGGGCTCTGGATGTTTGGCTGTCCATCAAGTTTGTCGTGGGAGAAAGAACACAGGCCTTGAAGCCCAACTAGACTTGGAATTCTAATTCCACTTCTTACCACCCAAGGGACCTTCAGAAGGTGGCTACATTCTTGGAGTCTTTGTTCCCTCATCTGTAAATCAAGAAGAGTCATTCATTCGATAATTTCTTATTCATTCTCTATGTGCTCGGTGCTGTGAGTAACAGCAGTGAAGCAAATAAACCAGTTCTTGCCCCCGTGGGGCTTATGCCCCACACCCCCATCTCAGATAAATGCTGAATGAAGACACCATCCTGCTGGTTCAGTGAACACAGTAAGTGTCGTTAGAAGATAAATCACCTCGTGGAAGAGCTTTGCCCCGAATCCAGTGGTTGTCAGGACCAAAAACTTCTTTTCTTAGCCCAACAACTGTACTTTGAGGCGAAGTAACACCTTCACTGTTTTTCAAAGGAATACTTGTTTCTGTTTCCATGCAGGAGTTTAAATAGAGATAAATCTTATTTTTTAAGATTGTATTAATTTACTTTTAGAGAGAAGGGGAGGGAGAGAAATGTTAGAGGGTTGCCTCTCAAATGCACCACAACCAGGGACCAAACCTGCAAACCAGGCCTGTGCCCTGACTGGGAATTGAACCTGTGACCTTTTGCTCTGCAAGGCAATGACCAACCAACTGATAAGGGCCTGACTCGATGATCTGCTACGACGAAAAAGAAGCCAGTGAAAATTCTAGAAAAAAAATTAAGAATATGGTCTTGTCACTATACTTTTATGTGTTTCAACATAAGGACAGCAGTTTGTGTTCGGTGAAAGATACGCAGACTGCAAATGGACATGACAGAATATTCCTAGCAAAAAATAAAATTCAAGATGCCTGCACAGGATCTGTGTTAGGAGTTGAGGGCCCCTGTGGTCTTTATCATTACAATCAATCTTCCAAATGACAATGAAGATCAATGAGGAAATGGTAACAGGGTGTATGCATAGAACTGGTACATTGCTGTTGTATATCAATCAATACCTGTTGACTGAATAAAGGAATTAATAGACAATCACTGCTTTCTGCCAATGCATAAAGAGAAGTCTTTATCTGTAAATTGTGATTCTCCCTCTGAATCTGCTTCCTTTTTCTCCTTGCGCTGAAGGGATCTGGAAAGACATTGGATGGGGCAGACACGGGGGCTGCTGGGTCAAGAACCAAAGACAAGCAGAGCTGTTTTTGAGACGTGTGCGATCTCTCACGCTTAGGAGCCCAGTCTTGGCCGGCAAATAGCATCGCTCGCACCAGAACGGAGGGCGGCTGGCAGGCTGTGTGCTTTGCTGTGGGAGTCACTTCTCCCCACGACTTGCTTTTTCTCTACAGAGCTGAACTTGTAGCCTCTTTCATACATAACTGGTTGAAGTTGATGGAAATTACACGTC